GGGTGGGCTTTCATTCCTCCTGCAACAAAGTACACCTGGGATCTGGGCAGGATTTGCCCCAGGATACCAGCACATACTGTACCTTTCCAGCAGGAAGGGTTAACACCACCTCTGACACACTGTCTTGCACACTGGCTTCCCCACAAGAATTTGTCATCTGCCCCTGGGCTGCAAGGGGCCTTTTTCTTTCCCTTACCCCCCCTAAGGGATCCGCTGCTGGAGCCTGGAGGAAGGAGGAGCCACACAGCACTCAGAGCAGGTGACAGTCACCTGGGATGCTACATCAGGCTGAAAAATGAGCTTCATTTGGAGACATAAATAAAATATGCCCAATCATGAGTTATTAATGAGATATAGAAAGGACTGAAGCATTGCCACACTGACAGGAGAGGAATCACAGCCACTGCCAGCTCAGTTGTTTGGGCTCAGGGAGTTTCCTGTGTTCACCACTGCCTGGTTTTCATTGCTGCAGCAGGAACAGCCCCGCAAATATTCACTGCAGCAGCCTCTAAGATGTCTTCTGCTATGAAACTCACAGGGGAGGATAAATCCTAGAAGGCAGCAATCATCCTAAAGAAAAGGTGGCCAAGCAAGGGCTATAACGTTGCGCTCAGCCTTAGGTTTCTGAAACCATGGGCTCAACATCTGCACCACAGCTGCATTTTGGGGAGAAGTCTGGTTTCTCTGTGTGCTGGTTTGCCCATCTCCTAAATAAAAACTGCTTTGTTTTACTGGTTACTCCAGGCCTGGAGGATAAATGCAGTCATAACAATGGCTGTCTCCTCCAGGAGTAGAAGCTCCACAGGACTTTTCACTCCAACATGTCGCTGTGCAGTGCTCTGGACTTGGCAACACACCACAGGATGGAAGCAGCTTACCTGCTTGCCCTTTTTTTGCCCTTTTTTTTTTTTCCCCTTGTCAACTAGAGGTCTAAAACATTTCTTGTTTTTCTGCAGTGAGCAAATCTTTTTGTGACAGAAACCCAATTGCAGCAACACTCCCTGCTATGAAACACAGCCAGGACGCTTCACAGCGCAATACTGCCGCACAGCAAACAAGGCGCCGCGGCACAAGAGCATGTTCCCAATTCCTGGGATCGATTTCAATGACACCGTTCTCAACAACAACATGGAAATAAAACCAAGCATCTTTCTACACTGAATGGGATGCAGTAACTTCTGTTTAAGGGACAAGTCAGGATGCCTACATGCCCAAACATGGTATCGTTGAAAATCTGGGTCTCATTATAAAAGCTGCTGTTCTAAAACCATTAATTTTATTGCAAGTCTCACTCTATCTGACAGTTTTTCTGAACATATTCCTCTAGTTTATTCCTGGGGGTTTCAGGGTGGTTTTTCTTTGCTTACTTATTTTCTTAGTTCCCAGTCAAACACAAGAGAGGAAGAACAAAATGCAAGAGAAAACATCTACTCGAAAAAAGAAGGTAGTAGACATGACTCAGTGAAGCTTAAAAGGCTGAAAAACACAGAGGTATGTAAAAGGAAAGCAGAACATGTATTTTCTTTTACAAATTGTGATGTTTGGCATGTTCCAGATGACAGCTTTTGACAAAGGAACAGCAAAATTACTTCTATTACATAATTCACACCACACACTAGGAGGAACTAGAGTGGACAAAAATAAGCATGTTTTAAGCTTGAGTGTCTCAAACCAAGTAACCAAGCATTTCCTCTGCCACAGCAGTGGGGTCCAGGCCCCTTAGTGTGTGCTGCTGGCTGCTCAGGCAGCTCCTGGTCTCACCAGCTCTTGCAGAGCATCTCTTCTTCCCTTGGGCTGTGGGCTTTGCAAAGCATAGGAAGCAGTGAGGACACCTTTAAATTGCCTCATTTGCTACTTCTGAATCCAACATATGTATCTGGTTAATTATTTAGCATCTCCACCACTTGTGTTTACTTATTTATAAAATACTGATGATTAGCTGCCATAACTGGGAGCTAGCAGGAAAGGCAACCACCAACCACCTCTCTCCAAAAAGTCCAGTTTGAGCTCAGCTGAATGACAGGCATGGCCAGACTGAAATTGTTTAGCTTTTCTAATGGAAAAACACTCTAATACTGAGAGAAGCTTAATTATTGTACTGGACAAGTGACTGTTTGTTCCTTGGGGTCTTCAGTGGCACCTTCTGCAGAGGATCAAGGGTCCTTGAAGAGGAGTGAGTAGCCCTACAGCTCAGTGGGTTAATGTTGGCCAAAGACAGCCCAGAACTGAGGCAGGGAAGTGCTGCCTGCCCCCAGCCAACTGGATGAACGCCTGATGGATTAACTGTGAATGTTCCTCGTGCCAGGAAAAGCTCAAGGGCTCGGGGAGAGAAGGAAAGCAGGAATCCAAGAGGACTGACAGCGAGAATTTCTCGTGGAAGTGAGGGAATTAGCTGGGCAGGAACAGCCCGAGTTTGAGGGAGGGAAAAGATAATAGCACAGAAGGCAGAGAGTTGGGGGAAAGCTTGCCTAGGAAGTGCCAGCCGGTGGGAAGGGGTCTGTTTTGAAGCGAGAGTAGCAATAAGTACAGGGTGATCAATCCTTATTTCCATGAGGGTGTTTAAAGTTACACAAACATAACAGTATCCACCATAACTGAGATTTAAACATATAACCTTGCAATGAAATTCCAATTAACTTTAGCAGAAGGAGAATACATCCAGCAAGCCTCCAGCTGCAGATCCAGGCAGAGCACATGTTTTTGGGACACTGGGTCACATAAATACCTGGACCAGAGGACAGAGAGGTATCTAGGCTGGGGTATCTGCCATTCTTTCACATAGCCCTCTATAGATCTCTTTGTCCCTTTGTCTTCCTGTCTCTCTCCAAAACAAAGGTGGTGGGAATTTTTAGTGCCAAATAACAAGTGTTTTTACCAGGCCTGATCATCTCCTGTGATGCAACAGACAGATAGTGAGCTTTTGAGCATTTACAAAAGAGAAATGCAGCAGAGTTCATTACTCACTAGCATAAATTCATACCAGCCCCCATCCTTGGTTGCTGCCCAGTCATAATGGGCTCATTCTGGTACCTAAGTGCCTAGGCATCATTTATTTTTGCTCAATCTTTTGAGGATGTACTTTAAACATCCGCTGTCCCAAAATACTGAAGACAAGTAACGATGTCTCTCTCTGGTTGTTCATTTCAAAGCTCTAGTCCCAGAAGCCAATTCCAGCTCAGTTTAATCCTTGATCAAAGCAGTACAATTTAGCATTGGATTAGCGATTCGCTCATTTAAATCTGTCACTAAGAAATGCAGGTGATTTAAGTCAATTCTAAATATTTCAACCAAAGCCACTAAAACTTTATCAGGTAGTACAGGGATAACATTTTTTTTACCTCCATTACAATCTCAGGCTGCATTTCCACAGTGTTTTGCAGGCACAAATGCACTTATTCTCCCTCTGTCAGAACAGTCATTCCTAACTTCCCTGGAAAACCGCAGAAGGAAAACTCATTATGTTACAGCACTATTGCCAGTTCCTTGAGGATGTTTAGCAAAAAAGTTTGCCAGGGAAAAAGAACTGGAAAAACTAATAGGGCACCAAGACTTCTCCTGGTATCTGCCAATCAAAAAGGGACTCCAGGACTGTGTTTATTCCAAGCACTTCCAGGCATCACTCTAGGAGGTGGAAATCTTGCCTTTGCCACTCTGACTGAGAACAGGAAGCTCCTTCCAGTGCAGAGAGAAGCTCATGAAGCCTCCAAACCACAGAGGAGAAGAAACAAAGAAGCATCACGAAAAACTCTCAAAAGTAAGTGATGCCAAATAACCTGTGTCAGTGTGTGTAGCAGCCCTCAGGCTCCTGCTCTCTACTCAGGTCTGTCACCTAGAATTGCCACCTTGACCTGACAAATACTACTTTACTTACCAGGCAAGTCACACACAGGATTTGCACCCCAGACTGAAGGTCTCAGGAACTTCATTGTGTTCAGGCCCTTCCCTTTGCTACCAAAGTTTTGTACCTGCCGGCCCCGACAGAGTTCCTGCGTCAGCACGCAGATCCCTGCATCAGCAAGTAAGTCTCTCTCCCCTTAAGTGAGGCTAACAGCTGCATTTATGCATTCAGTGAAGCCTGGAATCAATAGTATCCGAGTTACACTGAACCCCTAAAAGCTGGTTTGCTTTAGAGGTCCCTATAAAAATGCAGGTCATCTTCCTTCACAGCAAAGGACTTTGATCTGCTGCAGGAGTGCCGCCGGCTGGAGGGGCTTGCGCAGGAGAGCTGAGCTCCCAGCGGTGAGATACGCTCCAGGCTCCATTAAAATGCAAACCTTCCAGAAATCAAAGGCAACAGCGTCGGGACCGAGCACGGGCTGCAGCGCGCCCTGTGAGCCGGGAGTGCAGAGACCATCGAACACTCGCACAACTCATCTGGGGGCGAGGGACCCGCGGATCACAGTCCAGCACAGCACAAACAACTTCTTATCACATGCAATCCTGCAGGATGGTGAGTACAGAAACTGTTCTGTCCCAGATTAATTTACTTTGAAATAAAATATTACTGCTCCTCAAATCTTCTCAAAGTTGATTTTCTCCCCATTATCCTGCCAGGTTTCTCATCCTTTCAACCCACTCACCTCCTGTAAGGAGTGCAGGGAGGGACATGCACCAGGACTCCCTAACAGTCTAGTGAAGTCCAACAAACACCCAAGTGCTTCTCCCTGCAAAGTAACAGCTCCCACACGGGAGGAGGGAAACCTTGTGAGACTGAGGCACACCTAAATCTACTTTACTGCAGTAATAACCATGGCAGATGAATAGAGTAAAAATCCAGAGAGTCAACGGGCAAAAAAAAAAAAATCCAACATCTGAAAAATATAGGACATGCAAAAAATTAAAATAATCCTACTCCCGCCTGCCAATGCACGGGGGTGAAAATCAATCACAGACCACGTAGCTTTTTTCCTCCTGCTCAGCTAAAGAAAAGTAAATGCTCAAGTGAGTCCCCTCCAAGTCCCTCTCACAGGCAGGAGGGAGCTGCTCCGCTCTGACCGTACCTTTGCTCCTCCGTCTCACCACCCCGAGCCGGCACTTGAGCGACACAGCAAACATCTCCCCGACCGCAGCCTCCAGCGCTCCGCTCACATGGCTCTGTGCCGCTGCTCCCTCCGCACCTCTGCCTGCTCTGCGAGGGGCTGCTGGCTCGAAATTAACGTATGATTACTGTGAAATGAGTCGTGCTTTCGGCAGTGGCAGAGGGAGTGAGAGGGAAGGGTTTTTGGGGGGAGGATGGCAAAGGCTGAGCTAGAGGGGGCACAGACCCTTTTCGGTACTTTCAGTGTGGGGCTGTTTTGTTATCTTGTCCAAATGAATAAAATCACACATTGATGTTTTTAAACATATCGCCAGTCTCCTGCTGTTAAGGGCTGGGAATCTGCTACTACATTAACATATTAATTTGCAAAGTAAGATTATTCCTTAGCGCACATGGGTGCATGCTTGCACTTCACCAGAAAGCTAATCCAGAGATTACTGGAGCAAAGGAGACAAAAGCCCTCGATTTTATGGAAGCAGTTCACCAGTTCACAGCACTGGCACAAATGCTGTGGGACTATGTGCTGGTAAGGGCCCCGCAGGGCCAGTCCTGCCAAAGAAACTTCTCTGCAAAAGAACTGTTCATGTCTGCAGAAACCATTGACAATGTCCCATAGACCTAAGAGCAAAGCCACTACCCCAGGGAGGCACAAACCACCTGCTGAACATCAACTTTCCAAACATGATGTATCCTGAGTCCTGCTTGGAAAAGTGGGATGATGGATCATCCTGGAGATTTTTGCTGGTGATGGAGCAACCTTGGAGCAGTTCAGGGCTCTGCCTTCAAACCTGCTGGAGAGGTTTTGTTTCTATAAGCTGTTACATACAGCAGAGAACAGTGGGCAACCCCGGGCAGCACCGCAGGATACAGCTGGTTCTCAGCAGGGGTTATTGGTTAGTCAAAACCACCAAACTTATTTTGAGCAGAATTACCGTGGAATTTAGGGGAAGAAAAAATGGATACCTCACTCTTGACAGGACCACTCTGGGTCCCCACAAGAAGTCAGCCCCGTACACACCCTCACCAGGAGCTCTTGTTGTGGCAGACAGCAGAAGTTTTTTCCCAACCATACCACCAGACTTTTGATTGGTTGGACTGTTGGTGAGACCCAGCACACCCACCTGGAGGGACCAGTGATGTTCAGGAATGCCTACTCTGTGGGCTAAAGAGGAGTTTGAGGGACCCGTACAAGGACGCAAAGCCAGCGTGATGGTCAATTTAGCACACCTGAAAGAAAAGAGGTCCCTTTGTACAGCCAAGTCTAGTGACCAAGGGGACATGAAAAACCAAAAGCCTGTGGGTCATACAGTGCCAAGACACAGTTCATAAAACCCAGGTTAACCCCGCCAAATATAGGCAGCACAGGGGGTGACATACCTATACAACATGTTAAAGTCACCAGCTGAGAAGGTACAGCTCTACCTGTTCTTTTATTCAGCTTACTGTTCCTATATCAATCTCACTTCTCTCACATGCTGTCACCAAAAATCAGTTTTCCAAAGGAATCATTTTCTGGACTGTTGAATGCCTAGGAGAGAACAATAGCAGAGGTTTACCAGTAAGTCTTTATAAAGTTTAGTTACGTTCATTGGTCTTTTCAAGTCAGGGTAGACATGGACTCGCATAGCCTCAAAATGGTAATCTCAGAGCTTCCACAGGTACAGTTTTAGTTTTCTTTGCTTTCAACAAAAAAAAATTAGGACTGTGGTTTGTGTGCCCCTGGTTCCACAAAACATCCTCTCACCACACAGACTCCCCACACTTGCATTCCTGGGCCAGAGAGGCATTAGTGGTAATGGGACAGACTTTGCCTCTCCATGGCAGCACTTTGTAGGTCTGAGCTGCATATGTTAGTGATCAGACATCTCTACTCTCTGCCTCAACACCCCTCTTGCTCTTCATTTCCTCACAGCACACTTCGCAAGTTAGGGAGGATCACACAGCAAAACATGGACTATTCCCACTATTTTTTCACAGAAGGATTTTAGAGAGGCTTTGTGATGGCACATCAGCTCTTGCTGCCTTCCTTGCTCAACCCTGCTCATCCCCACACACTCTTCTGAGAGAACACCCCCTGCTGAGGACTCTGCCTGACCAGTTTGTTACTACTCCCTTTCATCTGACTTTTAGACCCAAATCACATTGGGAGTAGCACTTTAGTTGACCTTTTCTACTGAGCTGATCTTCTCCCAGTGCTTTTTAGCAGCTGAATAAGCTAAATATTCTTCACAGTCTCTATGGGAACTCAGACTGGAGTAGCAGGGGTTCTCAAGTGCTTATTACCATGGTCCCAGGGGAGCTTAAAGGTGCCTTCCAGGAACCCATGGGAAAACTCCAGATCTGTAGAAGAAAGCTTCATTACTAAGCCAATACCTGAGGGCTAAAGGCTGCTCTCAATAGATGGACATCTGGGAGTTTACCAATACAAAGTCTCTGAGCACCTTCCCTAGCCAACATTTCTGCTGATCCCACAGATGACTTTGGAGATTGCAATTAGCTGCCTGCAGCCATTGGTCTGTGGCAACAATACGCTGTGGGTTTCCAGAAGTCTCCTTAGAGACATAACACAGAGTAATTCACCTCTGATGCCTTATCTCAGCCACTGAGTTTTTGGACTTAGTCACCAGGGTCACCCTCACAGTTTTTCGGCTAGAAGGTCACATGCACAGTTTGGCAAATTCAAACTCAGTGATGTAAGTCTGGAACCAAGGGAAAATGTAACACAGACTGACCCCAAGAGTTTTCCAGCAAGGAAGGGGCTATAAGAGATCTGCTCTGAATGCATAGCAGCATTAGTGACACACACAAATGGCAATCCCAAAGGAGCTAACATCAAATTCCAAATTCAGGAATTCCAGTTACAGACCCTCAAAACTCAATAAACCCTCAGTGCCTTAGAGGTCAATCTTGGTATAACAACAAGAGATTTTCTTCTTGATTCCAGCTTGTTTTCTTTAAAATTATTTAGAGTTGAAAGCACTGGCAGGTGTGTGTACATGTATATGAACTCTAGATAAATTTAGATGTAACGTGGGTATTTAAAGCCTTGTACAGAAGACAAGAAGCCTGAGTGTGTTTGCATTGCATGAGAAACATGCACCTGGGGCTGATGCTGGGTTGAGGGATGGGGGCAGGCAATGGGGCTTCTGCTCCTGCTACGGCTGCGAGAGCCCAAGGGGGCTGACAGAGCCCAAATGTTCAATTTCTGAGACAGCCTGAGATCTGACTCCCAGTCCCCATTCCTTCCTCTGTTCAGACTGCTTTTTCTTTCTCCCCTCTACTGAGCACAGGCATCTCCAGTTAATTTCACTGGAGCTGCAGCAGAGGATCTTAGACAGTTTTTCCAATCAAAATATCATTTTGCACCAGATTTTGCCTGCTTTCATGATGCTGAAGTACCAGTCTACCAATAAAACTAAAGGAACCATGCCATTTCATCCTCCTGGGTTCATCACTGGGATTTAAGTGTATTCAGACATAAACCTGAATATTAAGATCCAATTTACCCTCCTCTGAGAGACTCAGAGAACTTCTTTAGTCAGGGGAATTGCCTAGATGTCCCAAGACAATTGGTTTTCCCTCAGAGGAAATTCCAGTTGCAAACAAAACACAGCTGTTTCCCTTTGATACTGAAACAAATGTGTTTTCTGCTCTCCTGCATATAAATCTAATCCTCATTTCAGCTCAGGAAATGACTGTGGGGACACTGGTCATCAACAGTGCACAATAGAAGGAGTGAGAAATGCAGCAATTAAACTAAGAGGATAAAAAAGCATTTGTATAATGGGAAATCTATTACCATTTATCACGTCTGGTATTTGAAGTGGCTCTGCCAAGTCATAGAATCCATTGAAAATAATGCAAGAGATTAATGAAAATAGATATGCACCAAGTTTCAGGAAAATAAAGCAAAACACCATGTGACTAATGAATATACAGAATTCAGAATATATGTACGTACTGCTGCATTTGTCTGTCTGGTAGTGATTACACCTTTTCTATAACAGCAAACTGTGCAGAAATTATAAGAAAAAATCCTGTCTTCTATTCATGCAAACATTTAAAAATATGTATTAGGACAAAATTAAAGGAGCAGAAATTATTCAAAGAAGAGTTCGCATTAAATTAGTTCATTCTTTTCTTGAAGTTCCCATAAAGTTTGTTTCCTTCCTCAGGAATAATAATGTAAAATCCCGTGTGTCTAATACATAGCCTGAAAATTACACACTGTACTAAAGCGTATTTTAGAAGGCAGTATTTCCTTACTAACAGGTGCAGTTATAGCTGAATGTATTAATGTTACAAATAATACTGCCTTTGTGAATTTGTTCAGATCGTTTTCATCTTCTCTTCACTAGTTTAAAGGATGTTCCTGCATTACTTTTTATGTGCTTCAATTCTGTTTATGACTATCAGCACAGTCAGCAGGCAGACCCGTAAAACGGATTCCGGGGAGAAAAATGCAGATTTATATGGAAAAGCAGCCTTTTCTTCTCTTCTTTTGGTACTTGCACACTGTCTGCAAAAAATAAAATCAGTTATTGCCAGCTATTGGCCTAACAGTGTTTTTATCACCACTGTAGATCAGACCGTGTTAAACTGGCTAACCAGAGTACACCTTCCATTTAAAAAGAAAGCAAAATAAACAAGGATCACTACAGATTATTTTGCTCTATAAATAGCGTATGTGGAACTTCTTATTGGAATAATTTCAGTTATCATACAAAAAGTAAGAAATAATCTGCCTTCTTACTACAGCACTTTGTAAAAATCTTGCCTTTAATAGACAGATTTTGATGAACAACTTTGTCCAGCAAAAATACATCAAACAGACTGGCCAACGACAGACTGAAGGTATCTCTCAGAAACACACATGTCATAGTGAATGTTAAGACAAGCTATGCAATTAACAGACAACAGATCCCTCCCTAAGAGTTTGGGAGCTCTTTGAGAGCCACAGAAGCAAATAACAGTGGCCAAACGTGGCATTAAAGCATTTGGAGACAAAAAGTCTGCCTTAGATAAGCAAGTCGGATCAATGGTGAAACAAGAAATCCAATAC